AACGCGGGGGTTTACAGAGTGGATTACCTAATAATACACGCGAGTGTGATTCTTGACTATACTCGATAAAGGTTGATGTTGAGTGCTTCTTGCTCGACTTTTCGTGCCAACGAGTTGCTAACAAGCTGGCTGCAAAGCTCGTGTGAGCTGGTGCACTGCGAGCTTACCCCAGTAGGTCATTACTCTGCATGACTGCTTGGCCACGGGAGTTAATAAAACGAAGTAGTTTTAGTAAAACAACGCAAGTTTTAGATCAGCCAATGACAGAACGGTGGGGAAGCTTACTTTTACGTCGAGTGCAACTTCAGTTTAGGTTAAACTTTGGATGGTTTTAGGAGCTAAAACAACGGGCAAAATATGTGAAAAGCACAATACAACAAACTCGAGCACAATTTAATTTAAATTAGGTTGGCTGGGGGACCGAGGGTGGTTTCTTTGTCTTCAGCGATGGCATGTCTGGAAATACCTTGTACAGAAGGACATCCAATAACGAGAAGACCAAGTTCTTCACTAGTACTTCATGCTGCAGGAACTCAAACAGCTACAGTAGGCGTCGGTATAAGTGCCAACAATCTCTAGACCAAAGCATTCGACTTCATACCTTTAAGCAGCCATGCCGGGCCGAGCTTTCGCCTAGCAACGATACGAATGCCGGTGGGCAGGTCCGAAACAGTGCCGATCGACATGCGCGGGCTTGGTCTTGCACTTTTGTTGGCGTCGACGGTGTACTTGCTTGAAAGTACACACCATCTGGCGGGATCGCCGTGGCTCGCAAATCAAACAGTAAACTGGCAATGCGTTTGGGGTGGGTCCATTCCGTGAACTGAGTCTCCACAATGCGGTGACACGTGGCGTTGAATGACACGCGAATGAACGTTCGAGTGACCGAGAGGAGTTTGCGCCGCATGCGATTCATGTCATCCAGCTCAAACATTTCATCCATCATTTTGAAGGCGTGCATTTCAAGTTTCTGCGACGAAATAAAGTTAACCACTTGACACCATTCTCTCAAAAGGGAATTCTAATTGTTGTTGTTGTACCTGCAGCAGCACTTGACCTTGACGAGTCGACTGATTGTTGGTTGACTTGTTCGAGGTCAACTCGTCCTTGGTATCAACAGCAGTAGCTCCTATGATGCGGGAATTTATCTCAGTTACGACATGACAGTTTGAACTTTTCAAACCTGCAGCGACGTCCAAAAGGAATTGCTGGACGGCGTGGGTCTGGCATATCGTATGGCTCTTCAGAATCTCTTCCAGGAACCGGTTCACCATGCTCTCGTCTGACTCTTGTGGATGTAACCGCGTCTACAACTCATGTCAACCACCTGCACACTTTTGATAATAGATACACACCAGTGACGAACGCGTTGTCAAGTGACTGGGATCAATGTCAGGATCGGCACACAGCGCGGCTTTGAGCAGATCAAAGTCCTCCTGCGACTTGCGTCCAGTCCAGTGGTGTCCATCTCCTGTCGTGACGTGCAAGTCAAACCGTGTCACATCAGACGCTGACATAGTGTGGTCGACCACACGAGTGGCTCGAGCTGTGAGTCGCAGTCGCAGTTGCGTTGCATATGCGTCGTAGCAAGTTGCACAAACACGCAGTGTCGACTCGTTTGTGTCTGTTACACAATGATTGCTGCATGAGAAGCACACGCTGCACGCACAACGCGGGCATGTAAACGTTGAACGATCCTCCATCGATAGGCGTTGACACAGCTGACAAGCCGTCCGGTCCTGGAGGGGTGCTGCTGTCTTGTCGTTTGGCGTGGGGCTCGCGGCGGGTTCTTTGTCCTGATTCGATCTCGGGGCGACTTCGTGAATGACCCCGTGCAAGGGATGGACAGCTGGCACGAGGACAAGCGGTAGCGTTTTGCGCCGTCGTAGCCATTTGCGTCGTCTCACACAATCCAAGCGACTTTCCTTGGCGTGGAGACCAACGTGTTTGGACGTTTTCGAGTACAACCAGCCGCTCCTGGTTTCAGTCTCACTACGTGACACGATGTTGTCGTCGCTGTCGTTGCCACCATCGCCATCGATTTCAGGGTTCTCCTCCAACGTCCACGGACCATCCCATACCCACTCTGACGTCGGAAGGCGAGCATCATCGCGTTTGCGCTTGTCCGACGACTTGAGCCAGCCTTGTAGGGGCAAATACCGTTGGCATTCCCACGCTTCTTCAACGACAAACGTCACACCAAACGCAAGAGTTTCCGTGGAGTGTAGGTTTTGTTTCGACAGCGTGAGGCGATCGTGCCCTAGGGTTTGAAGGTGCAAGGCAACGCGCATGCCGTTGAGTCGAAAGAGCGCCGCCAGCAGGATGCTAGTCAGCTCTTTGTCGCGCAACACTGCGTACGACTCGTAGAACGAATCGGTCACCGACGATTCCACCACCGCCATGGCCGTAAAGTACTCCCACAGTTCGCCTTCCTCCAATGCCAAGAGCAACCATTGTACCCCTCGGGCCGAGAAGTGACCGTCGCTTGCTCGCGGCACTGGCAACGATTGGACCAACTTGACGCGATCGTTCCAAAACGCAGTTTGCAGTCGTCGTTGGCTTAGATACGTCCAATAGGAGGCGTCGTCCAGGGGCAGCGTTGTGGACGAGTACGAGGGTGGTGGTTCACTTGCTTTGAAACCAAACAGGAGCACTTCTTCGAGAGACGATACCAGCCCATGCAATTCTTTCGTGCGGCCACTCGTCAGCAGGGTCGCGGGGTCCAGCGCCACGTACAATCCAATGGCGTGATCCACTTGCTGTACGATGTCGTGACCGATGGACGACGGCTGCTGGTGCTGTGGCTGCTGGAGATCCCCGTTGTCGTCGGTGTACTTGCTGAATTCATTAACGTCCACAGCTGAGTCTGTCGATGACCGGTCGCTGGCCAATCGTTTCGAGAATCGTGCTTTCATCTTCGCTACGTCTAGTAGCGATCGTGTCTTTTTGTGTTTGGACTTTTGCGGCAGAGGGGGTTTCTGTGCCGACGTGCCAGCGGTGGTTGAGTTTGCCGTTTCCGCAGATGATACAAGTGGGAATAGCAACTGTGGCCCTGACGAATCGGGCGAGTCGAGTTCCCCCATGAGGGACACGAGGTGGTTCACGAGTTGTGCGTCGTCGAACGAGCACTTTGGCGCGCGGGAGGCCGTGTAGGAGGCCAAGGGGCGCTTGGCTTTCGTGTCTAACTCAAGTTCGCGCACTTGAAACGGTTCTAGCATCGACGCTACCAACGGGTTGGAGTGCTCGGGGTTGCAGAACGAAAGCAGGGGGGTTAGGACACATCGGGCGAGGATTTCGCTGGTAAAATGCCACGCCAGGTACGGAAACGACACGAACGACTGCTGGGGGTTGCATTTGTCGTCAAAGTCTGGGCGAACAAGGGCGAGCAAATTCATCGAAAGCTGCTTGAGGTACGCACAGCTGTCGAGGGCCCCTGGGTGCAACTTGGAATGATGTTGCCCCACGACTACGTCCAACAGTAGCCGCCGCCTCAATTCCAGACTTGGATGCGAGTCGTCACCAAATGCATGGGGGTGTTCGTCGCACAACTCGGCGTAGAGGTCGCGGAACCACGCCAACTGCAACTGAACGACTTGTAGGCTTTCCGTGACCGCGGACAACGTGCCGTGAAGGTGAAACGCTCGCCGCGCCCGCACGGAGAGCCCCCCGAGGATATCACAAAGCAACAACTTGACGGTCGACGCAAACAATTCGTCCGTCGTTAGCTGTTTGTACCAGAACGTGACAAAGTCGGCGACGAGGATGTTGACGAGTGTGCCTAATTCATCGGCCACACTTTTGTCCAAGCCATACGTGACGTGCAAGTAAGCTGAAGGGGGCACCCGTCGAATCGAGTCTGGACGGAACCCCACGTGGAGCAACTTGGCTGAAGGCGCGTAGCTGCCGAAACGGCCGAAGTAAAATTCCGCGGCGGCGGTCGACAGCAACGAAGTATGTACAATGCGAGACATTTCCATGAGGGATTGCACCGACGCCAGAATCAAAAACGCGACCAACGCCACCGCCACGTGGGTCACCACTCGGAGCAACGTTGGCACAAGTGTCCATGCCAAAACACCCAGTGCGAGTACGACAATTCGTCGTGCCGACGACGTGACCATGTTTCGTTCGTTGTGTCCTGGCAGTGGCGGCGGTTTTGTGGCTTTTGGTTTCAAAAGTAAGCCAATCAAATGTCGCGGCGTTACTTGTCAAACCAATCAAATGTCGCAGAGATACAAGTCAAGCCAATGAAATGTCGCGGCGTTCCAAGACATCAAACGTGGTGGAGATTCTCGTCCAAAATAGCTACGACAACCGCGTAAAAACCGACAAAGAGAGGGACCATGGCGTCAGCAAGTAACGAGTGGGCGGCACCGCCCTCGTTAGACAACGCTGACGTGGAGGCCATCGACCGATTCGACGAAGGCGAGAACGATGACGACAACAGTGACGAAAGCGACGACGAAGAGCCAGAAGGGGATGATGAACAAACCATCGTGGACGCGGGGAGGCACAAACGCATGCAACGCATCCAAAAGGTGTTGTATGACCAGTTGGTCGGCAACGACACGCAAATCGCCCTCGAATTGCGAGAAAAAGAGGAGGAATTGCGGCGGGCCAAAACCAAACGCGAAGATTTGGGCGTCGAGCTGTACGGGGTGCAGCAGCAGCTGGCGCAGCTCCAGATGGCCCTCGAAGGCGCGCACAACAAGCTGAACGACACCCATGAAAACCGATTCAAGGCTGAGGACAACTTGGACGAGGTCAAGGACGAGTTCAAGAAGAAGAAAGCTGTGGTGGAAAAGAGCAAAGTGCAGATGCACAAGGCCCAAGTGGAGCTGGACGCGCTCAACCAAACGCTGCGCCAAGTGGAAGCGTACAACGACGAGATGAAGTCGGAGATCGCGCGGAGCCAGCGCGCGGCACACAAGGCCGAGGAAACCGTGACAAACCTGGAAAAGCAAAAGAAAAAGCAAGACTTGTACATTGACAAGCTCACGGAAGAAGTCAAGTCGCTCAAGGAGAACATTCAACTGTACGGCGCGCAACTAAAAGTGCAGGCGCAGGAGACCGAAGCGGCGGATGAAACGCTGAAAGAAGCTGCCAAGCAGATGGAAGCGACCGCGTTCGAGAAGAAGCAGCTCATGCAGCAATGGAAAAGCTCGTTGATTGGCATGCAACAACGGGACCAGGCGCTGTTGGCTACCCAAACGGCCATCAACGCCGTCAACGAACAAGAGCTGGCCGTGGTGTCTGAAATTCGTGGCTACAAAACGTCGATTCAAAAGGCCCAGACCGTGAGCGAGACGTTGACGGGGACGATCGATCGATTTGATTCCGAGAATCGATTCGTGGAGGAACAGCTCGGCGCGATCCAGCAGGACATGGACAAGTTGTCGGAGCGGTATGCTGACGACAAATTGTTCAACGACCTGTTGAAGCGGTCCTTTGGGTGTTGACATGATGGATATGTTGTGATTTATTGATGTTGTAGGTACGACATGCTCCAGAAAAGCCTCAAGCAAACCGACGCGCAAGTGGACAAAGTCTCGCAGGACGCGAAAAGGCTCGACGGGGACACGGCGAGTGTGACGCAAAACTTGGAAACGGTGCAAAAGGAGCGGCATGCGTTGGAAGATGCGATCCAGGCGCAGAAGAACACGCAGACGACAATGAACAAAGCCGCCAACAACCTCGTGAAAGAGACCCAGAAAATCCAAACCACAATCCACGAAAAGGAAATCTTGTATGCCAACATCAAGAACGAAATGGCGCGCGTGAACGTCGACATATTAAACGTCCAAGCGCACACGTCGCAGCTCAAGGACACCCACGACAAGCTTGTGACCGACCTCAAGACCAAAGACTTGGCGGTCGAGCAGAGTGAGCTCGAGATTCGCCAACGCAACGACGAGATTGAGAAAAAGGTAAACTTGGGGGGCCAGAAAACTAAAATCATCGGTGCTTGCGCATGATGTGTGTGTGTTTGTTTGGGGGGTCGTTAGATGCTTCGCCTGGACAGACTCAACAAAAAATACGAGCAGCTCGTGTCCAACATGGTGGACGAGAATACGGGTCCGTTGGAAGCAACGATAAAAAATATCAAGAAAGAAACCTTGCAAAAGAAGAAAGAGAACGTTGACAAGCAGCGCGAGTGGCTTCAAATACAGACGTCACTCGTGCACTTGACGGCCGAAAGCGAAGAAATTGGTGAAAAAAACCAAGTGCTCAAGAGCAAAACGAGCATTTTGGAGCAAAAGCAGCTGCGCCTCGTGAACGAGTTCAACAACTTTAAGACCGAAGTCAAGGAACTCAAGGCGGGCATCGCAACCATGCACATTGACACGGTCAAGCTGAATGAACTCATTTCTCGCCACCGCGACAAGCAGGAAGCCCTTACGAACGTCAACTACAGCTTGGAGCTGGAGTTCAAGCGCGAATTGAAGGAGCTCGAGGCAGAATCCATCAGTATGGAAGCGCAAGCCAATTCAATCAAACAGGAAAAGCAAATGCTGTTGGACCAGATCATTGAAGTGGAGCGTCAAATCATGTTGTGGGAGAAGAAAATTCAAATCGAGAAGGAAACCCAGGCAGCGTTGGACCCCGAGGTCGGCCAGGCTGAGGCGAAGAACATGGAGCGCGAGATTCACCGGATGCGGCTGCGGCTGGAAGCGCTTGAGCGCGACCAGGAGCGGATGATCTTTGAAATGGAACGCGCGATTCACAAGGTAACAACCAAACCGACGTTGCCTTTGATAGTTGTCGTCCTGACAGCCGTCCATTGTTTCGTAGCGCGATGCGATTGCGATGCGGGGCCGCGGCAAGAAAGAGTCGGACATGACCCAGGCGTCGCTTCTGAGCAAGGTTGCCACTTTGCAAAACAAAGCGCGCCAAGCGGCAAAAGAAACCGCAGCGCTTGAAAAAGCGATCAAGCAAAAAAGCATCCAGAGCGAAGACATTTCGTTCCAGATGGACAAGATCAGCCAGGACTTGAAGACACAGGAAGACCGCGCGGCGACGCTCCAGCGATCAATCAACCACGCGTTGTACGAGAAGCAACGATGCATCGACACGGAGGCGCGCAAGCAGCGCATGCTCAAGAAATGGGAGCAGATTTGCCAAGGGAAGGGCTTCGACCCGACCGACGAAGACAGAATTCACGCGGACAAGGACAAGGCCATGACCGACACGCAGAAAATCCGAGACATGATTGACACGTTGCAACAGCAGCACCCCCATTTGAAGGAAGTGCTCACGCGGGTCGCCATGCTGTCGGAAGCGCAGTAGGAAAGCAAATATGGATAAGAATGTCCATCTATTTGTGTGGACGGTGTAAACGCAGACTTATTCACGAGCGTGTTTGTGCGGTTACATGGATGGTTGAGTTGTTCTGACGTTCGCTTTAACAACATTACAGTGTGGATGAAAGTGACTGGACTATAGCAATGTACTAACTTGGCCGTTCGGTTATGTGTACGAACTCATAAGATAAAGGCATATGGCGAGTGGATGGGGTAGTTTGATTCAAGCAACAAGATTGTACACCAAGTGGTCCAGGGTTCGTGTGCACAACATTGCATTTTACTGAGTTGTGAGCTTCAGAGCAAAGTGGTGCGTTCGAACGCTTCTGCTTTCGATATACAATTTCTCCACCCAGAAAGCCCCATAGCGCAGTCCGTACCAAGACGCCAACGGTTCGCCAGGTTTCAACATCGCAGGCTCAAAACGAACCTGGCCATGCAGCACGCCTTGGACGACCGAGTGAGGGGACATCCACCGAACGCACCGTCGGCTATGTAGCTCTTCCACCGTGACATCCACGTGCCAGTCGCCAAAGGTGGCACTCAACGCATGGTGGTTGGCGACCCCATAGATGATCTTGACCAGGTCGATACTGCGCAAAACTTGGCTTTCATTTGATCGAAAGGGCAACGCCCGAGTAACGTGGTCGCGCACGAGGGTGTACTGAGCCGTCTCGGTGACATAGCATACTTTGTGGAGGGAAACCGTGACCATGTTGATGATATGATGTGCGGCGGGCACATCACCTTGGTCCGGAATGGCCACGTTGTAGTTCGTGTAGAGCGAAACTTGGCATCGCCAGGATTGTTTAAGATCGTCAGGCGTCAACAGGGGTCGAGCCCCTTGAAAGGTGAAGTCGTCTCCACCAACTATTTTGTTGTGGTCGGAAACCAGCGCCAATTGCTCCAAGAGAAAGGACCCTCATCTCGATCCTGAATTTCAATCGCAATCGACTTGCCCAATAAGTGGCGAATGGAGTGGACGGTACGACAAGGGCCCCGGGGTCATTGGGGTAGATTCGCTGGGCTGCAGCGTTGGGTTGCCACCACCTGCAGCAGGGCCAAACCAGGATTGACTTCGTCGACGGCGGCGAAATTGCCCAGAACGTACGAGAGTAGCGACGAGAGAATGGGGCAGCGGACGGCATCGGTCACTTTGGGCACTTGTTAAGTCGTGACAAGAAGGTACGAACTAGCCCCATTCATTCAATCTGTCCACGATGAAACTGAACTAATTCAATGAAGCTCAACGCCACAAACGAATAATTGGTGTTCCAAGGAAAAATGTCAGGGCAGTCGGAGCATTGGGGGGTTGACGGGGGGGGCTTCTTCGATAAGTATGTTGCGTGATATCGATGTCCATAATGATATTCTAGTCCAGGAAGTTGTCCATTGCGCGCGCCGACATGACCCTCTCAGTGGAATTGACGAGGAAGTCGCTTCATCCACGCGAGATGTGGGCCACTGCGCAAACAAGGAAAGCAACGATTCGCATCATGCAAAGTGAACAAAGGCGGTTATGGCCATCGAAAATGCTGCATGGGAAGTGAAGAAGTCGGGCAACATGGATGCAAAACAACTTTGAAATAGCAAACCCTGACGTGATTTCACGGTGAATGCATGTTCCAAAGTAGTGACTTTGACGACCCAAAATGAACTGATGCTTCACAGCCAGATTTCAGCCCGAGTAAAGGGAATAGGGGGCATGCACTTGCTACAGTTTGACGGCCTAACTTGCAAGCCCATCCCTGCACCAATGACAGAGCGATTCAATCCAAGGGCTTCGCGGTCGGAAGTGCAAGTCCAGGTATAAAACTATACCAGTATGATGCAACTGCGACCACGGTACTAACGTTGGTATGCACGACAAGGACATTCAAATTGACGTTGGTAAGATATGTTGAGCTAACGTTCGTCCAAATCGCCTCGACGAAACGGCATTGCACTTGCGTGCCATGATTAACGTTACACCAAGGGGGTATACTCCTCGGTCCGTTTGCGTTGCTGTGTCAGCACAAATGCGGCTACAAGGGCAGTCCCCACTACCCCCACACTTGCGCCGACCCAAAATGACGAGCTACCTGTCGATGCAGCAGTCGCCGCAACCTCGAGCGTCGTCGCAGACACGTCACCATGCAACAAGCCTTGGACGACCGAGCGAGGGGGGACATCTGCCGAACGCGCCGTCGACTGCAGCGCATCCACCGTGACGTCGACGTGCCAGTTGCCAAAGTTGACGCTCAACGCACGGCGGTTGGTGGGATCCCCAAAGTCGATCTTGGTCAGGTCGATGCTACGCAACACTTGGTTTTCATTCGATCGAAAGTACAACACCCGGGCAACGTGGTCGCGCACGAGGGTGTATTGCGTCGCGCCGCTTCCTCCAAGATATGCCGTGGGAATCGTGACTGTGTTGATGATGTGCACGGCGGCGGACACGGCCGCTTGGTCCGGCGTGGCCACGCTGTAGCTCGTGTTGGGCAAGAACGCAGCCGCGCCATGTCGGTTCAAGAACGTCAGGCGCTGAAAGCGTTCAATCGGACTGTAGCCGCCTTGAAAGGTCAAGTCTTGAGTCCCAGTGACCGTGTTGTCGTGGTGAGCAACCAGAGCCAATTGCTCTAAGAATGGCGGGTCGTTGGTCAGGACGCCGGCGGGGTTGTCGTACATGTGGAGTTTGCCCTTGATAAATTCAACCACTATCGACTTGCCCGATGCGTCGTGAATGGGCAAATGCAAGGGAAATTTGAGAAATACGGTAAGGCCAGGGGTGGTCAGTGCCTGGAGCTTGCCGTCGAAGCCGCGCAATTGGAGGTTGGGTAGACCCGCTTTAACTTCGTCGACCGTCGCGTAATTGCCCAGAATGTACGTGACGAACGAAGAGATGATGGGGTGGATGGCGGCATCGGCAACGTCTACTGCGGGGTATTCGGATCCGGTGAGGAACAGGTAGCCGGCCGCCAACCCTTTTTCGTTCAGCCCGTCCGCGGCCGCGTTGATGCCCAGCGTGTTGAGCCCCACAAAGCCATACTTGGTTCGCCATGAGTAGTCGGGGCAATCAGTGCATTCATCGACAATGAGCTCTTGGATGAGAGTGTTGCGCGGCACGATTTCCACGAGGGTGCGCAGGTCGATCTTGAAGTCCATAGTCCGAGCAGACACGACGTATGTCGTCGAGTTCAAGAGGAAGTCACTGCAGCCATGGACAAGGGAGGCGCACAAGGCGGCGGCTGCAGCGAGAGGGAGACACGAGAAGGGCGTGAGGTGCATGGTCAGACGTCGAATGTGCGACGGAAACGATGATGAGAAGGACGGATTAGATTGACTACGGTAGTCTGGATTACGAAATACAATCAAATCAATGGGGAACGCGCAATAATTGGCTGAAAAAAAATACCCGCAGCCAATCAAATCCGTGTCCTAAGGTCTACTACAGTGTACTTCGGATGAGTGACAATAATATGTTGCATGTTCCGATGTTGATATTTTGACCAAGGTACGTTAATGACGGAGGTTGAACGATCGGCATCGGCTGCATCCCAAAGGCTTTCGCCACGTCTCTGATCGTAAATGGACCAAAACCTCCACCAGAACGCTTGCACCAAGACATGGAGGAGTTGTAATTTGTTTCAAGTCTAGCAACCCGATCATCCCACAATAGCTACAACATTCATAAGCGCAAATTTACCCTCGTGAGTTTCACCTTGTCAAGAACGTTGCGATCCAAACGACGCGACGAATTACTGTATCGCATAAACGTCTGTCAAAGGGGGCGAGCGGGGGGGGG